AGAGAGGAGCTACACAAGCACAGCATGAGGTTCATCTGAGATCAGCTACACTTTCAGTTAGCTCAGTTATTCCCCTGCTCCATCTGTAATCCTTTAAAGGATTCTTATTGTCTTATTAATAAATCTACAGAAATGGTTCTCTGTATTTGCCAATTCCTTTCCTCTTACATGATTTCTACCCCCTCAAACATCACATCCACCCCCAGTCCCCACTTCAGCCCTTCCTCTTTCTCCCCTAAGTTTTATCTTCTCCCAAGTCCATCAGCCTCTACTGATCTTCCTACCACTCTTCTCCAAGCTTTCCTGCTTCTTCCTGCCTAACAACAGCCATGAGAAAAGTCCAAATCCTCACAGGAGTTCTCCTGTGAGAACAAATGTCATCAACAGAGTCAGTCATTCAGAGCACATCTGTGAACACCATTTCATTTTTCATAACTGCAGCAAACAACTCCATGGAGGGACCAGGATCAGCTCCCCCATGCAGCTGTCACAGCACAGCTATCCCCCTTCATCCCTGTGCTGTGACCGGCAGCCATCTCAGCTTCCTCCCAGGAAGTGTGGTTTGACATCCAGGACACCAACCCAGGAGCCTGGAAATACATCCCAGAGGTAAAAAATCATTATGAACTTCAATAAGGTCTTGCTACTGCAGATGAAAACAATCCCATTCCAGTACCACTCTTCCTTTTGTGCTAGCAGACTTGTTTACTTACCTGCATGCAGTAAACTCCATCAAGAAATTGTTCCAGTTAAAATTAATTCATAAACATTTACTGTAATAAATCTCTTTGCTGACCAGGTTTATCAGGACTCCACAAAGACTCCTGGGAGCAAAGCTAGGGCAGCACAGGCATGGGAGTGAGCAGTCAGGATGGAGGTGAGGACATAGCTACCTGTCCAGCAGCAGCTACTGCTTGTTTAAGAACAATTCTATAGTTATTGGGAAAGTCCCTGCTGAGCCACAAACCTTGACTAAAACATCTGTCTCTCTGAAACAGGGCACAGGATTAATTTGCGTTCCTAAACCTCAAACGGGATAAAAATTTCTGCTTAATGTGTTGCCTTCACTAGTAAAATGCAGCATAGAAACAAATGGTGCTTCTTCTGTGGATTCTCACAAGTGCCACTGTCTTAGCAAGGCAAAGCAACAGTGTCTCTGCTACACCTAAATCTATATGGGATCCTCCATTGAGTTACACATCCAGACAAGTTGCATCTGGGAGGAAAATCCAACTAGTGTACCAATATGGACAGAAATGAGCTCAAAAATAGTAACTGCTCTCATTTGAAAATAAGGATGCGCTATGCTCCATCCTTTGTTCAACAGCCTCTGGAAAGGGCAAGTTGTGCTAGCCTCCTTGGAGCTCAAACCCAGAGCCCTTGGTACAGGGCTCATACTCAAGGTCTCTCCCAGGCAAAAGGAGCTCTGCAAGGGGTGTGAAGCACCAGGGACTACGTGACCTCTCTGCATCCGGCACATACACCAAAATGTCTCCTGGTCTGCAGAGCTGACCACCACTTCTAGCAGTATCAGAGGCCAAGGTAGAGCTACACTACCACGGCTCCAGTCTCATGGGAGTAAATCTGGTGCAAAGCAGGAGCTACCCCATTGTGACTGCGCTTTTGGTGGTACAGAATAACATTTCTGAGAAAGGAATCCTCTAAAGTGCCATCTGTCCCACCATCAGACAACTACTGCCTTGCAGAAAGTTCTCACAAATCTGTAACCACCTGCTGTTCCTCTAAGACACTCTTGCAAGATCATTGCCAACAAAAACAGTATTGTTCAGAGGCTGAAGTGTTAACCTGGCAAGAGATAGCTTCTCTTATCAGCTTTAGAACAAAACTTGACCTTTCACAGTCTAGCAATATCTACCTCCCAAC